AATGTCAATTTAGGGTGGAATATAAATATGTCCTCTAATGAAAGTCATGAAGGGGTATGCATTCCCTTCTCCCTACACATTCTCTTCCCTGCGCCTGTTATAACCATGTATCAATCTTCCAATCAAGAAGACGCTGTAATCCTGTAATATGGCAAGACAGCGAAATTTCCAAACAACGCAAAAGCCGTTGTCCCTAAGGAGCGTCAGAAAATCCCCGCCCCGACGATCTTAATCTAGAGGAGTATACACATTATTCCAAAATGGCTGACTAGCCCTTGATGTCTTGTTTTCATAAAATTATTCTTTTGTCTTTGAGCTTGAGTTGCTTTAAAAGAAAAAAAACAATTTCATGAAAACGAGACATCAAGGGCTAGTCAGCCATTTTGGAATAAGTTGTATTCTAGTGGCTCAGTCTAACCTAATATGGGTATACTTACAGGTTTGGCCTTGAGTCACGATCTGTGGTCGCTTTTGATGACTTCATACGACATTTTAAAAATAACGAGGTGAGTTAATGGATCAAATGATGCACGGTAATGATGGTGTGTCGTCGGTAAACTTGTAGCCTGCGCAGTCAGGCATCGCGCTCTCTTGAAGACTGGAAACTACTACTTAATTCCTGAAAGACACTCTGACAAGAGTAGCGGACTCACTTTTAAATCTACAATTGCGCAAGCGCCTCTTATGTTGGGATTTTGGTTTTGACTTTCAACGATTCTGGATTGCGCGGGGAATGGCTCTCATATCTTAAGATATGAATATGTGGACCACGTACATGTTATTATGAAATACATGAAATGAAAATAAATGAAAGATATAGTAGAAGGAGGTTGATCGGGGCGAAAGACCCTTGGAAATAAATCGAATCGTTTTTGAKGGTCTTTCGCCCAGAATAACCTCCTTGTAACCACTATAGCTCTTCTTTATTACTATATCATAATTTAGCTATAGAGAACCCAAGTCTAATCGAGAGTTTTAAAAAGTCTTTACATGACCGCTTTTACTTAGGTAGTTGATAAAGTATGGATGGATCCAGTTTTGCGCCCAKCAAACCCAGCTTCCAATCTACCAGCAAACAGACTGAAAAATCTCCAGCGCCAGCGTGTGGCGATGAAGGAATCAAACACCAGGCGACATACAGTCAAAATGTACACTGCRCTTCAAGTGTTTCCTATGCTTAAACGCAAAGTCAGAGATAAGTAAGATATTAACCTTCTTTACATTCGCTGMGCATGCGTGGCGTGATTAGAGGAAGGTAGAGGACTCTTACCTAGTCACAATCTCGTACCCAGAACCACTGTCCTTCTTACTCGCAGGCTCACAGGCTCGTCGAGCATGCGCAGTAAGAGGGACAAGGGCGCTGGGTACGAGATTGACCTAGTCACTTGTCACTTCTATTATTTAATAACTCCCGGCGCCATCTTAAAAAGCAACCAAACCCTTATATGAAAACGAGACAGTAATTGAGCTTGCAATGATAGATACCTGTGAATAATTGTCTGCGCAAAAGAAGGTTTCTATCATTGCACACTCAACAGCCGTCTCACTTTTATGTAAAAGTTTTGTTACCAGTCAAGATTGAAAAATGAACCGKGAAGGTGACTATTGGACCAAAATATAGCTTTAGCTATGACATCTCTATTTTTATCTTGCTAGTAGTTTTCTATCATGATCCAGGACATTAAAGTTTGGTTGTGGGGGAGGGGCACAAAAAAAGGAATAAGAAAACAACATTTAGGGCTGTGGAACATGMGATGYATCTATTGTYAAATAAATGTCATAGTTTCTATTTCTATATTTTTGAACCCCCAAAAGCCACCCTTGTCTATGTTTATTTTTAGTTTTATGGAGTTCGCCAAGCTTTTGCCGACGTCATGCTTTGATCTGGACGGCACGGTGCTCAAACCTCAGCTCAGACATTTGCTGTATATCTTAAATGTTAACATGTACGATGAAGAGTTTGACAAAGTATGGGACAGGTATGTCTTCTTGATTTTCCATGACACCGATGTTCAGTGACCTCGAACATCGTGAACCGAGGCGTCAAGCAACACTGAGCACTGATMTTTTCTTGTATGCCCACTACACTTTGACGCCTCGGTTCATTGGTTTGTTTGTGATGGAATATCCAAGACACACTCAGTTATAAAGATCCACTTGCATCCAAGATGCTTTGCGATCGTTTGCTTTGTTTTAATGAAATGTTCTGTTGTTTGAACGTTACGTTTTTGTATAGATTTGATCGCAGTGGACTTGGTACTGTAGACAGCCAAACCTTCTTTAAAGTCCTCGGTCTAAGACGTCTTGAAATGGAACCATCAGGTACAGAAATGC